AATAAAAATTATATTAAAGTAGGCCTTATAAAAATTATATACCTTTAAAATAAGCTTATTTTTAAAATTATTTAAACTAAAGTATTTAAGGGCTATAAAGCATGTATTATAAAAATAAAAAATAAGTTAATTTATTATATATTAATAATAGTCCGCTAGATTAATTAGGTATTTTAATAATTAACTTATAATATAAAAAATATTTAAATAAGTAAGCGTGCTTGTATATTTAATTAAGCTAACTTTAAACCTTATTTTTTTTAATTTATTAAGGTATTATAATACTAAAGTTTAAATAAAGCTTACTAAAAAAAAATTTTAAAGGTTAAATTATTATATTTAGGTAAAATTAATTTATAATTACTTTAATATAAAAGTTTTAATATAACTAGACCTTGCGCTTTTCCTTATTTTAAATAATTTAAATTTTTAAAAATTATTTTACTTTATTAAAATACTAAAGCTTATACTTTATTATTAATTTTTTTTTAAAAGTAGCTATAGCAGCTCGGCCTTTTTTAATAAAAAGGTTTATAATAATAATATTATTTATATAAATAAAAAAAATTATAAACTTACTAATATAAAGGCACTTTTTTTAAAAAATTATAATAAAGCTAAATTTTTATAATATTATAGCTAAATTAAGCTACTAAAAATAAAAAAACTTTTAAAGTTTATAAATAATTTTAAGGGCCTTTAGTAACTTACCTTACTACTTATAGTTATTTAAAAAGTAAAAATATATTATTTTTTTAAGGGCAGCATTAAAAAACATGTTAATAATATTTTTTTAATTAAAATTAAGATTAAAAATAGTTATAAGCACTACAAGAGCTTTAAAAGCCCTTATTAAAATAATTATTACTTAATTTTTTTTAAAAAATTTTAATTTTAAATTTCCGTGTATATAAATTTAGGCTTTAACCTTAATAAAATAATTATTAATATTAAATTTATAAATAAAAACCTATAATAAAAAAATTAGTTATTTATTTTTATTTTTTATTTATTTACTATCTTTTATACTTTTATTTTATAAAGTGTCCCTAGTTTAAAGTTTAAAGCCTTTAAAAACTTACTTAAATAGTTTTTAAGATTACTTTAGCACTTAGGAGAAAAAGGTAAATTATTTTAATAAAGTTATTTTTTTATAGGGTTTTAATAAAAAGTGGAAAAGATAAATTAAATATAGTTAAGGTTATTTAAATTATTTAAAAAAGTATTATTTAAATTTAAATTATATATATAATTATTAATATTATATTATCTATGCCTGCGCCTAAATATTTTAAAAAAAAGGCTAAAATTATTAAAGTTCCACCCCTTAAGCGCGTTAAGCTTAAAGGCTAAGTAAAAAAAAAAAAAGCTAGGCGTGCTTATTTATTTTTTTTAAGTAATTATTTATTAGCTAAATTAATAAAAAAATATTAAAATATTTAAGGGTATAAAATTTATTACTAGGGATTTTTTAAATAAGCTCCTAGAGCTATTTATAAGGCTAAGTTTTATATAAGCCTTTTATAATAATAAGGTTTAAAAATTACTTTAAAAGTTAGCAAGTATAAAAACTTACCTAGCTAATTAAAGGCCTTTTTTTCACTAGTAATATTTTTAATTTTACTAGTAATATTTTAAGCCTTATTTCTTACTTTATACTTATTATTATTATTAATATTTTTTTTTAAGATTTTTACTACCCGTGGCCTATTTATATTTAAAATACCTTTATTTTTATTTTATTTAAAAAATTTACTAAAGTTAAGGTTTAAGTTAATTTTTTTGGTTTTATAATTTTAAAAGGGGATGTTAAGAACTTGGGCTAAAGGCTTTAAAAACTTAATTTTAATATTAATAATAAAAAAGGGATTTTTTAAATTATATAATTTAAACTTATTAAAAATAATATTTTTATAGGCATGTACAAGCTACTTTTTAAAAAACTAGATTTACTAAATATTTAAGGTAATATAGCCTAGTAAGTATTTTAATAAAGCCTTTAATTTTATTTTATAAAAACTTTTTACCTAGGATTATCTTGCCCAGGTAAAATAACTTAATATTTTAATATTAAAAATATAAGGTTTTTTATTAATAAATACTTTTTATAATATTTTTTAATTTAATAACTTAATAAAAATTTAATTATTAATATAAGCTACTGCCTTTATAACCTAGGGCTATATATTAAAAAGGATTTTTTTATAAAAAGCTATTATTTTTACTTTTTTAATTAATATATTACTAAAGCACTTAGCTATACTATTTTAAAAAAAAGTATAAAAAGTAAACTAGTTTTAAAGTATACCTTAAAATATAGTAAAGTTAGGAATATTATTACTAAGTATAGGCTTATAATTATTAAAAAAAATCTTAAAAGTAATATTAAATTAAGTTTAAATAAGCTTAATATATTATTTAATAATATTTTTATACCTACTTTTCTCCTGGTAAACATAGGCCTAATAAAACTTAATATTTTTATTATAAAAATAAGTTACCTACTTTTTTTATTTATTACTTTTCTTATAAAAATTAGGTTAAAGTAAACTTAATTAAATAGTTTAGTAATAAGATTTTTAAGCCTTTTAAATATTTATTAAGGGGCTTATTTATATTTATAAGTATTATATTATTAAAATAATTAAAAACTAGTAATTTAAACTTTTTTAATTATAATTAATAAGTATTAAAATATTTTATTATTAATATAGCTTAGGCGCTGGTAAAAAGTTTTAAAATTTTTTTTAATATAAATTTTTTAAGTTAAGGTCTTAACTTTTTATTAAGTTAAAGTATTAGCCTTTTTTTACTTTAAGTTTTTTTTAAACTTAACTATCCAAAGGCTAGATAAGTAATCTTTAAAATAAAATATTAGTTTATTATTTTTAGTAATTAAAGTATTAAAATCTTAAAAATATTTAGCCTTTTTAAAAAGCCTAGCTACTAAAATATTAATATAAAAGCTAGGTATAAAAGCTATTTTATTAAAAGTAAAAGGTATTATTTTATTATTTAAAATCTTAAAATAAAAAAGTATTAATCCCATGCCTTAAATAATAATAGTTATATTTCCTACTTAAATATTACCTTTTTTTAATTAATTAAAAAAGGTAAAATAACTAAAATTATTATAAATATAAATAAAAACACTAGTATTAAAAATAAAGGTATTTTTAAGTATTAAATTACTTTAAATACTTATAATAAGTATGTAATTATAGTATTTTTTTTATTATAGCCTAAGTAACTAAAAAAGCTTTTTAAGCTTTTTTTTAACTTTTTTTTATTTTTAAAAATTTATTTATTTTTAGCCCTTACCTTTTAAAGTTTCTTGCTATATTTATTATTTTTATTAAAAGTTTTATTAACCTTTTTATTTATTTATTTTTTAGGTTTATACCATGGCTTTTTATATAATTATATAAAGTGCTAATATTACTTTATTACTTAAAAATAACTATATAAATAAAAAGGCTTGTTATTAGTTAGTACTATTTTAAAAAAAAATATTTAATTTTTTATTAAAAGTTATAAAGGCTATTACTTTAGTAAAGTTTTTAAAAAAGCTATTAATTATAAAAAAATATTATTAATATTTAAATATAAACTAAAGGTAAAAAATTAAATTAGCACCTTTTTAATTTAATTAGTTAGTATTTTATTTTATATAAAAATTTAAATACTTGCTAATTATTTATAAAAAGGTTATATTAGCTATTTTATTTTTTAATTTAGGTTAATTAAATTATTTAATTTTTTAATAGGTATTCTTATAATTTTAAAGCTAATTATTAATTTTATTTTATTAAATTAAAGTATTTAAGGCTATAAAATAGTTACTAAATACCTTTAATTTAATTTTAAAATTAATTAAAATAAATTATTACTTTAATTTAGCTAGAACCTTTATAGTAAGTTTATTTTTAATAAGTTATTAAATAAAAATAATAATAATTTTTTAAATAACTTTATTTATTTTTTAAATTTTAGTATAATAATACTTAGTATTAAGCTAGTATTTATTATATATTTTAAATACTTTTTTAATTATATTTTTAAAAGGTAACTTAAAAAAAAAGGGATTTTTTTTAAAAAATATTTAGGTTAAAAAACTTTTAAACTTTTATTATTTAAATAAAGTAAAAAATTTAATTATACTAAGCTAGCTAGTTATTCCTAAACTTAAAAATAACTTTTATATTTATAATATTATTAATAAAGCTTATAAAAACTTTTAAATTAAGTATAAAAATTAAAAATTAATTAATATTTATTTTAATTTAATAAAAAAATAATTAATTATAAAGGGCTTGGTATAGCTTTAAGGCATGTATTTAAAAGTATAAATAACTTTAAAATATTTAAAAAAGGTAAAAATTTAATAAGCTAAACTATTAAGTTAATATTTAGGCTTATAATTAAAAGGCCTTTTATATATTATATTAATTAATAAAGCTATTAATTAAATATTATAAAAAAAAATAAAAAAAAAATAAATTATTTATTAAAAGCTAGAGCTACCTAGGGGTTTATATAAATATTTTAAGCTTTTAAAAACTTATTAATAGCCTAATTTTTCTACTAAAATATAAGGTATTAAACGCCTTACTTTTTTATACTAACGCGGCATGTAAAGGCGTTGACAAATAAGAACTCCACCAAAATAAGAGATCTCCACCTTTGGCTGACATTCTTCTACCCTCTTAGTATCAAACCCCGCATTCCTCCCAAGCCCCAACCCACCGAAACAACAAAAACTGCCACAATGCGCATCAACCCCAGCACCATCCTAGCTCTAACACGCTCATCACCACCACCCTCGCCGCCAACATCGTCTCCATCTACATGCCCTACCTCGAATCCAACGAAGGCCCAGGCGCCCTCGTCGGCGAAGAACCCAGCCACGTACCTACCCCCTTTCCCACCACCCAGTCCCCCCCTCCGCTCCTCACCACTAACAATACCGTATAATTCCCCCAGACCTCCAACACAACAACCTATAGCATAACCTGCGCCTTCGGCACTTCCGGCACAGGCCTAACATCGGGAATCATCGAAACCCCCTCAACATACACCATGCTCCACCAAGACACCAACAGGACGTACCAGACAGGCGAGTGCGCGATTGCCTCCAGCACGGCGTCCTGCTCGTTGTATACGCACGGCTCGTGGTGAGATCTGCCTACTGATTCGGCGATGGAGTCGCGGGCTGTTACGATTACGGCGGCGGCGACGGAGCCTGCGAGTGCGAGTGTGAGTGCGAGTGCTTCGCCGGCTGTCACGAGTACGGGCACGGCCTCGGTGGCTGCGACGACGGAGTCCGCGAATGGTACTGAGGTTCCTCGGGCAGATCCGACGGGTAGTGGCAATGCGGCGGTGGGGTGGGTTACGGGGATGCCGTGGGGTGTTGGGGTTGGGGCTGTGGCCATGGCTGCGGCTGCGGCTGCGATGCTATAAACACCAAGTTACGGTAATGGAGAAAGCACTTTTGGATTTTCGAGTTGAGAATGGTAGTGTTGATTTCTGGGTAGGTCTGCTTTTAACTATTGGGTACAGCTGTTATTCTGTTAGGCCGGGCCTGGTCATAGGTATAGGAGTGTACAACATGGATATTGGTCTTTTTTGTTCCGGCACTCTTTCATCACTAGGTAAGGCCTGGCCGTATCAATGATTTAAACCTAGCTCATTCAACCTTTGCGTCCTGGATTAAATGGACTCAGACGTTAACTACCATACTTCATACTCCCCCCGCCAACCGACTCCTCCCCCTTATCCTCCTCCCAAAAAGCACCAGCAGCCACGGCACAAGCGTCAAGCCGGCCGCAACACCCCCAAGAAGACTCGCAGCGGGTCCAAACCCCAAATTCTTGAAGAGCTGCCGACTCACCAACGGAAAGACCCCATTCATCAAATTCCTACAGAAATTCTGCGCCGCCAGCGCAGAGCTCGCGTACCCGCCGTACGTATCCGCCAGGTAATTAAACACCGCGAGGTAAATCGAGAAGATACCCATTGTCGAAAGTCCAACCGCGACAGTCGGTACGATCCAGTGGATACGGAAATCCGGCTGCGCCGTCCACCCGAACATAAACAGGCCGATGGGGAGGAGGACGCTCTCGACGCACGCGAAGTACAGCCTGTGCTCGGGGCATGTGTTCCAGTTCCTCCAGTGGCGGGAGGCGAGTTTGCTCTGCGTTATGGAGAGCAGTGTTGAGAGGAGACTTGCGGCGCAGGTTGCTGTGAAGATGGCGTTTGAGTGTGCGAGGCTGAAGGCGTAGGTTGACTGGTAGACTAGCGGGATTGCGGACAGGTTGATGTACAGCACGGACCAGGAGAATGCGGACCAGAGGGAGAAGAAGAAGACGACGGGTTCGGAGACGAGGAGGATGAAGGGGCGAGAGATGGAGATGCGGAGTGTGGTGCTTAGGTGGGCGCGCTCTTCGTGCTCGGCGACTTTGAAGCGGATGCGGTGGATGTTGGCCTTTTCTTGCTCCGGGGAATTGTTGTTGACTTGGTTTGATGGTAGCTGGACGCCTGGACAGCCGTGTTCTTCAAGTCGCTCGTAGTACCTGTTCAGGGTGTTCGCTCGCTTGCCCAGGATAACGACGCCGCGAGTCTCGCGAAAGAAGAGGAGCAGAGCGAGCGCAATGATGCCGTCAATGAGAATCTGCATGTAGAAGATCCACCGCCACGTCGTATACTGGGCAACGAAACCGCAGACAAGCGGTCCAAGACCGGTCCCAAAGAGCGCAGAGCCGGTGAAGAGAGCCATTGGGGCATTCCGCTCGCGCGACTTGTACATATCTGCAACGATGCCTCCCACCATAGTCGTGAATGTTGATCCGCCTACTCCGGCAAAGAACCTGGCAACCAGCATCCTGCACAATCAGTGAGGATAGAATAGGGCCAGGAGAAGGCAGCGGCGTACCCTGAATATAACCGCGTAACCGCACAGCAAACCTGAAAGAGAACAAGCATAACCGCCGTCCCCACAAACACAGGCTTCCTCCCGACAATCTCAGACAAGGGGACCAGGAACATGGGCGCAAAGCCCATCCCGCAGCAAAACGTCGTGATGCCTAGCAGGGCCGCAACGCGACTGACCTCCCATTCTGACGACATCTGCTCCGCGCCGGGGCTGTAGCAGCTAGTTGCGAACGACGCAAAGAGGGTGGTGATACAGGAGAGCCATGTGATGAAGCTCTTTTGGAACGAGGACCACTGATACGGCGAGCCCAGCTTTGACAGGTTTGGTTGGGCGATGTCCTTGTTCGGTCGGACGGGGATCGGCAGCTCGGAGTCAAAGCTGAGATCCAGGAAGGTGATGTCTTTGGGCATTGTGCCTGGCTCTCGTTGTTTGGGCTGGAAATGCTGCCAGTGAAGATGGAGCTCCGGGGCACGGGGTCGGAGTATGACGACAGGGGGTCAAGCTTTGGGAGTTCCATGGGAGGACCCTAAGTATGGATCCCCGACGTCACCCGGGCTCTCTCAAGACGTCGGGACCGCAATTGTCCTATGGTAGTAGATGAATCGTTTATCTGATAACTCCCACAAAGGGGCCCGCGTCAGGAACTTTCTACGAAATCCGACAATAGGGCAAGAAAAATCCAGTATCAATATGGTTCGTGCTGACACTACCACGCATAGCTGTCATTTAAAACCCCCATCTAAGCAGGAATCTTCAACCCAGTCTTCCCCTCCAACAACCTAACAACCTCCCCCTGCAACCCCTCATCCCCAGCCGCAGCAACCTGCTCACCCAGGTGTCCCCTAGGCTCAAAATACGGCGCAACAAGACCCTGATCATAATCCCCCACCGCAAGCTTCACATACGTCTCAACCCCATCCTCCAACCGATCCGGCGCCTCCTTCCCACCGAGCTTCGTAGCAACCCACCCAGGATGCACCGTCGCAACACTAGTACGACCCTTCCACTTCTTCGCAACAGCATTCGCAAGCAGATTCAACTGCAGCTTCGTATCACAGTACGACTTGAAGTCATTCCAGTCGTCCTCGCCGCGCTTCTCCCAGAACATATCGCCCACATTGCCAGGGTCCCCCTGCTTATGCAGCATCGAGCTAATGTAGATCAAACGCTTCGGCTTCTCCATCAAACACGTGAGGATATACGGCGCGCAAACGTTAACGAAGACCTGCGTGGGCATGTTTGTGTCGGCCGTGCGGCGTGTCGGGCCGAGGAAGACGCCTGCGTTGTGGATGACGACGTCGAAGGGGCCGAGGGCGTTGGCTTCGGATGCGAATTTCTTGGTTTCGGAGAGCGAGGAGAGGTCCGCGATTAGGGTGCCCGCTGCGCCGGGGCAGGCCTTTTCGGCGTCGGAGGCGCGTTGGGAGCTCCGGGCGTGCAGGTAGACGGTGTGGCCCTGGCTGATGAGTTGTTGGGCGGCGACGAGGCCGAAACCGTCGGAGGAGCCGGTGATGAGGATGCGGGACATGGTGGGTTGGTTGTTGGTTCTGGGTGAGGATGGTAAGGAGGTTAAGGGGGGGAAGATTTGAGTGCTGGGGGGCACACTTTATAGTGACGTTTGTCCCGCTGGAGCCGGGTTTCGAAGACTTATGACTGTCATTCCATGATTCTATCCACTTTTAACTCCGGATTGTGGACCTCGGGGAGGAGGTTTGTAAGCGGGATGGGGACGGTCGGGACGGATGGAAGCTCCAGTCCATGGAGGAGCTGGAGGGCTGGTGAAATATGGAGGCTGATCTTAATACCCGACCAACGGATGACCAAAGTAGCTCACTTATACGGTATAGAGATGACATTGTCCATTCCAAGGACGCTGCAGCAACGGTTCTGCAGGATGAATAAACTCGGCACCGGCTCGGCTTGGACCCGCCCGATGACCCGATTGGTCGACAACTTTCTGCACGGCTTTGATTGGTTGTTCTGGAGACTGCCATGCGTTCCCATATAACTTTGAGATAAAGTAAAACAAGCACATACGACCACAGGGTGTGGAGAACAGGGCTTCCCGTCCGCTCAGCCGTACTTAAGCCACACGCCGGCTGGTTAGTAGTATGGTGGGTGACCACATGCGAATCCCAGCTGTTGTATGTTTTTGCTGCTTTTAATTATGGGGAGTCTAACCCCAACTACCCCAACCAAGCTCATCGTCACTTGCACTAGGAAGATGGAGCGGAGAAGTGACAGAACAGAGCATCTGTTATTCAACTTGTTGGACATGGGTACTGCTTTCCACGATATCAGAGGACAAGTCCGATCACCTACATACCCAAGTAATACAACCATACCAACGATTGCTCGCACTGACATCACGTTAGTTATTGCCAGCCTTGTTGTATAGTGTTTCTCAAGTGCAAGACTTCTGTACAAGGCAGCGCTTATGCCCTGGAATAAATAAAAAATTGTATCTAAAACATCTTCAATTCATTCATTGACCTCTCCCTGATAAAGCCTTAAATCCGTAGTTAACTAAGGTACTCTGAATCGCTACTGCTATTACTCAAGGTGGATGAATGTACACGGATCAGATAATAACTGACTGAACGCTGATACCCGAGTAAGGCCTTCGTGACGCCGTCATGTCCGCCTCTTGCGGCTACCATAGCCGTAAAGCAGCCCTGCGGATCTCCGTGTCGCCGAGTTTGAACAGCTCAGCGACGAGTTGCGCATGGCTGGATTCCGCAGCGTCTTGGAGCGCGAGAGCTGAGCCTTCTGGATGTGCGTTTTGTTCCATTGGAAGCTTCCATTGTGTATCTGTAGGAGAGTGAGCACTTCGAAGCTGCCGTGTTTCCACCCTTGGCTGCGGCTGCAAGTTCGATCGCGGTGGTGCTCGTTTGATCCGGAGTTCCGATTGTTTCTTGGAGGTTGGATTTATTTCCGGGCTCTGTCGTGCTCGCAGTGCAAGCGATATCACCTTCTTATTATAGTAGTTAACGTACCGTTTAGAAAGCTACGAGCATTTATTGACCGTTATTCAGTCATCTACCCACCACAGCATCTGGAAACAGAGGTGAGCATTGAGGGAGCAACTGCTGACGGGGATAATGGCTTCGGTGAGAACTCGTAGTCGGTATCTGCCTCGTGAGGACGAATTTTGTCATTAATTCGGGAAAACAAAAGAAGTACATTATTAGTACTAGATACATCGAAGACTGGTACATTCAACAGAATCAAGTTATAAGCCAACTCACTCTCAATTACTGGCCCAATACAGTAGGCTCCAAGATCCACTGAGACGCAGGCGAGCTTTTGGGGTCTTTCAGACGCAGCTCACTGCCACTTTCTTCCGCTGCCAGAACCAGCGGCCCCGAATACGCATTCGATAGCTTCCAGGTTCCATTCCCATATTTCTCGACTTTCCACTGCTGTCCGGTGTAGTCGCCCGCCGGGGATAGATGAGGTCGGGTTTTATCGCTGCCGTAGACATCCAGGAGCATCTTGGTACCAAGCCACTTGGTGCTTAGATTGTATGCGCCCTCATTTGTCGGGGACGGACGAAGCTGCCAATGCTGACCAGTAACGTCATGGTCTGGGGCCATTTTCAGTGCCCCGTCACGTTCCTGGTTTCCGTCATTCTTCACATCGATTGCCATGTCGGGCTTGGCTAGGTTCTTGATCCTGTACCAGGACGTGCTCATAGCGGACATTGTGGTGTTTGATGATAACGGCGATGGACGTGTAATGGAACTTTGGGTTGGTGGCACTTTATATTTTGAGCTATCAAAGGGGGAGAGGAAAGGAGAGATGAAGAATGAATGCATATGGTGTATCTAGCTGGGCGGCCCGGACGTCTATATAGGCCTCTGGCCTGACTAATCTCCTAGGGCCAGCGAAGGCAAGTATTTGTTCTGCTGCTCCAGATCCCATGGATTTGCTGTGGGTTTAGCACGGGAGCTCCGCATGCGGAAGCACCTAACAAAGATAATTCAACTTTCTATGACAACAAGAGCCTGTCTGTGATAAGAAGACCATATCTCTGACAAGAAGTACCCTGTGTAATACAAAGACCCTGTTAGTGACAATAAGACGCGGTCTATGATAATAAGACCGTGTCTATGACAACTAGACCCTGTCTGTCCACCTAGCAGAAGCCGTCCCCATGTCCTGATACTACAAGTCTCGCCCATTTGCGCTAGAATCTGCTGATCCAACTTAGGATGCTTTACAGTGCAAACCCACCCCGGGCGCATGAGCACGATAGCCTGATCAGGGAACTGGTAATAATCGAGAACAGCTTTACCTTTTGAGAAGGCAGAGCTTGTGCCATGGAATAAATAGACACTTGGATATTTCAGCCTTAGATATATATCAATCCTCCTTTCTTTTAATTTCCTGAACGATTGAACTTAACATATGTACTCTTAATCCTACCGCTCTTGCTTGAGGTGGGTGAATGTATATTTGATGATACTATGGCTGCTGTCTTCAAGCGAGGGCAACGGAGACAGAACGGAGCACTCTTTGCACACATATAATACCCTGTTTTGGAACTTTTGGAAAGAGCATTCAACGTCTAACTTCGAGGTATTTTACATATTATTTTACAAACTTTGCTGGTCGCCTGTTATAAATATATCTTCCCCCGGCCAGAAGCTCAAGTAACTATTTTGGAACAAATCAGGAAGAAATAAAGCCAAAGTGACCTCTTCAAGCACCAGAACCACACCTCAAACTCTCAGTCCGGCTCTTATTAACTAACCATATGTGTACACAGCCTGGAAGTCTCGCAACCCCTTGCATCCTCAAGGTTGTACCCTCCCCTTCCTCTCTTAGCTATCCTCCACGGCACCTTATTATCTACAGAGTTATAAAAACCATTTAAACCTTCCTGCCTAAGAAAGGACTAAAAAGCTAGCTAAATCCCTTTAATAAAAGATAAATTATCTTATTTTTTATAAACTGCGTAATTTCATTTCTGTATATTATATTATTATATAATAATAATTTAATTAGTTTACCTATAAACCTAGTATTAAAGTTAATATATTCACTTAGTAATTAAGTAGTAATTATATATATAATTATTTTATTGTTATAAAAAGTATTACTGTAGGCTTTAATTCTTTAGGTAAAGATAAAGAATAAAAAAGCATAAAAGCTATGGTAGGATTAAAGGTCTTTATTTAGGCGGGTGGGGACAGGGTTAGGTTGGTTTAGTATGGCAGGGTGTAAGGCCTATCTTACTGTATATAGCCCTTTTATAAAAGCTTAAATATATTTATAAATAACTTCTCGTGGATAGCTAAGTTAGCTTAAGTGCTAATTTAGTATATACTAAAAATATTTAGTTTTTATAAGGCTAGAGTTCCAATTTTTAGTATTAATTTTAAGATTCTTATTTTTATTTAAAGAATTACTATTAATAAACTTTTTTTAAATATAATATACGTTATTATATTATTTATAACCCCTTAGCTTAAGTGCTAATTTAGTATATACTAAAAATATTTATTTTTCATAAGGCTAGAGTTCTAATTTTTAGCATTAATTTTAATATTTTTATTTTTCTTTTAAAAAATTACTATTAATAAACTTTTTTTTCAATATAATATACCTTATTATATTATTTCATATTTATAACCCCTTTTAAGGCTAAAAACCTTATAATTTTAATACTTATAAATATATTTAATTTATTAAAAATAATGTATATTTATACTATAAGTTACTTAAGCGTCCTCGCGGTAATTAAAATTAACCTTTTACAAAATTATTTTTAAAAAAAACTTACTTACCCCTTATAAGCGGGCTTTTTATAATTATAAAAAAAATTTAAAAAATAGTAATTTTCAAATTAATATATTTTTATAAAAAAAAGTAATAGCTAGATTAACCCGCAGGTAGTTAAAGATTAAATACTTATTTATTTAAAAAAACTTAGTTTAAATAAGTTACAGCTGCAAGCTACTTAAATTAAAAAGGTTAAAAAATGAAATAATTAATTTAAAAAATTTATAAAAAGCTTTAACCTGCCCGCGGGTTATATAAATAATTTTATTTATTTTTATAAAAAAGGCTGCTTATCTCGCGGCTGCCTAACAAAAAAATATAAAATTATTATTTATAGTAATTATTATGCTTTTATAAAAAAAGGTAAATATATTTAATAAAGTAAATAGCTTTTTATAAAAAAGGTATTAAAATTTATAATACTTTACTTAAACTTAGTTTTATAAAAATAATAGGCTATAAAACTAAAATTTTAGGTTATTTTACTTAAAAAGCCCTTTATAATTTTTTTCAAATAATCAAAAAGTCCTATGGATTAATTACATGTAATAGAAAGTAAAATATTACATATAACTTTAAATAAAAGTAAGTTAGACTATATATACTTGTAATATTAAAAAAGTAATTAAAATTAAATAATTAAAAAAATAAAATTAATATAATTTTTTTATAAATAATTTTTAAATCTTACTTACTTATAATAAAGTAAAAGGTTTATAAATAACTATATTTTTTTGAAAATACTTATAAAACTAGTATTTTTTATTATTAAACTTTCATTAATTTTTTCTTATTACAAGGTGTACCAAGCACTAATTTAAAGTTTATAAATAAAATAAATAATTTTTATAAGATAAGCACAAGGGGGTTTTATAAAAAAATAAGTAATTATAAAATTAAAAAGCTAGCTTGTATAAAAAAATAAAAATAAAAAAAGCCTTAATATTATTATTATAAAAAGATTAGGTATATTAAGATAAAGTACTTAAAGCTTATAAAAAAGGTTAAAAAATAATATAAAAACCTTGTTGTAGTGGCTATTATTACTAGTGAAGAATTTCAATTAAATATAAATTAGGTTATTAAAAAAATTCTTTTAATTTATAAAAATTATATTACCTAGTAAAGTGGCTATAAATTATAAGGCCCTTATAAATTATAAAAGCTTAATAAATATAATTTTATTACTTCTTATAAAACAAGCAAGATAAAAATTTTATTATATAAAATATTTATATAAGCTATTAATAATAAGCAGGTATAAAGAAAAGGTCTTATAAAAGTAAATATATATTTTTAGGATTTATATAAGACTTAAAAAAGTCTAAGGTGCTTATAATTATATTATTAAATATTAAGTAAGTAATATTAAGCATGCTATAACTAAAAATTTATAACTTATAAATAACTTAGGTTATAAAAAAATTAACCTTTCTAAAATAAGATTTTTAGGTTAAAAAAGTTTTTATAAAAGATTTATTAAAAATATTTATAAAAAGTAGGTTAAGACTTCTTAAATTAGTGAAATAAAGGTTAAATAAATTATATTAAGTAATAAGCTACCTGTGGTTTCATTGATGGTGTTGATGCCTCAGGCCACTTTATTGGCCGTGGCAATGCCAAGGCCTAGGGATATTAATGGCCTTAAGGGATAATGCTTAGGCCTTACCACCTTAAATAAAAGCTATATAAAGCGCTTAAAGGCCTTAATAAAAAACCTTTAAATAATTTTATATTTAGTTTTTTTTTATATTTTTTTTAATTACCTAGCCTTATTAGCTAGGTAATTTCTAGCACTAGTATTATTATATTTAATAATATATTTTTAATTATTTAATTAATAAGCTTTTTTAATACTATAGGATTTAATTAAATATAATAATAAGGTAATTATTATACTTAATTATTAAGGTTACTTAATAATATATTTATAGTAAGGCTTATTAATAATATAAACTACTTAATACCACTTATACCTTTTTAATAAAAAAAAATTAAAGCTTAAAAGATTTTTAAGGGGCCTAAAAACTATACTAAAAATATTAATAAAAATAATTAATAATTATTTAATTTAAAACCCCCTTTTATTAACACTAGCAAAAAATATTTATTTAATTATTATTTTAAAAAAACTTTGTGCTCGGGCAGTAAGATAGCTAAAATCTTTTTTATAATTAATAATAATAAGGGTTATTACCTTATTTATATATTTAATTAAAAAATTATATTTTTAATTATATAAATAAAAAAATTTAAAATTTTTTTAACTAGTAACTTAACCCTAGTTATATAAAAAATTTTTTATAATAAATATTATTATTACTAGCTTTTTAAAGTAAGGGTAATAATTAAGGGTGTTAAGTAAAGGTAACACTTGTGTTATAAAAATTACTAAAAAAAATAAAAAAAAAATATTAATTATTTTAATTAAGTTTTTTATTTAATTCTTAATTTATTAAAACTTTTTTTTAGTATTTTATTTAACTTTAATTAATTAATTATTATAAAAAACCTTATAAACCTAATTAACCTTACTAACCCCGCGGTTATCGCGTAGTATAACTTATAATATATAAAAATTAAGTTTTTTTAAAAATAAACTAGCTAAAATAAAAAAATTTAAGGCTTATTTATTTAGTTTATTATTATAAATAATTTATTTTATAAGTACTAGAAAAACGCCCACGGCTAGCTATTTAATAAAAAACTAATTATTTAAAAAATCTTTAATTTTAAGGGTATTACTAAGTACAAAGGCTGTATTAACTTAAATATAGCTAAAATATAAATTTAAAATATAAATTATTATTTTTATAATAAATATATTTTTTATAATTAAAACTTTAATAAGTATAAAAAAGTTTTAGTTACTATTTATTTTTTTATTAACTAGGCTAAAAAGTATTAAAATACTTAC